GGCGGAGGAGTGCTTGGAGCGGGGGCATCCACTGCCAGGGCCCTAATCATGGCCGATGGGGGCCGCTGGCATAAAAAAAGCAGGGCACTTCTGAAGGGGCCCGCTCCTCATTCTCCGCTTTCTGCGTGCACAAAGGCAACACCCCCCTCCCCCCCCCCCCCCCCCCCCCCCTTCGGCCTTGGGGGCAGGAGCAGCAACCCACTCGCCTCCATGTGGGACATAAACGGTCCGCGATGATGGAGCGGAATGACCTCTCCCGCAACCGGGACCACGCTGGTGCCTTTGGCAGGAGCCGGCTGCGGCCGTAATGACTGGGATAATGCTGAAGATACCCTAGATGGGGGGGGGCAATGGCTATATTGCGCTGTCACCTTCTGTAGATGTCTCACCCCCCGCCTCCAGCGCACACAGACTGCTTGTGCCATCAGATGCTTAAACATGGATGCAGGTTCTCTCTGTGATGGAGATTTGGATAGTCTACCAGTACATCTCCTGTGCTATAACATCCACCCCCAACTGCATCTGTACCTTCTCAACTGTATTTTAAAGAAATGCAATAAACATTATCGGTTTTACTGTTTCTCTTTTTGTTGGGATCTGTCTGTTAGCTTGGAACGTTCTACATTTTTCATCCAATCTGTACAAGTCACAAGTTTCAGTAACTGTGGTTGGTCGTTAAATATTTTTGCCGTTCAACCTGTGACCGTACCTGTGAAATTCTTTTTTGCAAAAGATTATTCTAACTGTACTTTCATGTTATTTCACTTTCTCTATCTGTCTCCAGTGCCTTGATACCAGTATCTCGGTTGTGCAATAGTGTTGAGTCCAATACTTTTTTAATAGTATGTCTTGTGGAAAGGAGGACAATTTAAATGCCACATGTTTACGATAAATTTAGGAGCTGACTGTTCAACATAAACAACATAAATACCTCTCACCTACTTCAGCTGAGTAAGAAAGTCATGTTACACCACCATACAGCAGAATATACCGTTTTCATAGCAAAACACTTAAATGCCCACATGACACCCAGGAACCTTTGAAAAAATGTATGCATTTTAATCAGCAACATACTACGTGTGTATTATATTTCCCAAAACAGTTAGGATCTTGCAATAAAGCTCATGTAAGTTAATGTGACAAGACATTCAAACGATTATATTTCACACACGTCACCTCCGACAAACATGAACGGATATTCTTTATAGAGCGCCCTCTAGCGTTTGCAGCCACGGCACATTTTAGTGACAACAAATTAACACAACATTTACAAATGCGTTCATTTGATGAATTCGTTTAATCCTTTCAATAAAACTTTGCAAAATAAATTATGCATACGGTATGTTTTGACTGCGATGTTTTCTTAAATTTTCTTGCCGAAAATCGGAGCTTTGAATCTCTCGAGCATCCTGCATGAAAACTTGGCTTTTCTAGACTTTAGCTGGTGGTCGGAAGGAATAAGAAAAACAGAAATAAAAACTCTGCAGCAGTATACGGAGCATATGCGCCCCCGCCCTGCTCCGCCGCCGCCGCCGCCCCCCTCCGCCGCGATGCGCGTTCTCGCCGCAGCGTGTGCGCGTCGCTGCCGTTCCTGCGGAATCCAGGGGGGCTGTTGTCAGACTCCGGAGACAGACACCCACCTAGTAAATAATGAACAACAAATTTGACGCGTGAGTAAGCTAAGTCGGCGTCCGGAGGCCGCACGTTGCCGTTTGAGAGGGTGGCGGCGCGGTCGCTGCGGATCCCCTTCTCGCCGTACGGAGAGAGGCGTGTCTGCACGCGCCTGCACGGGCTGCGGTGTCACGCGTCCCCGCATGTCTGTTGCATGCATGATTGGGGGGCGAATGCATCCAGTATTCTTGCATAATAAATCTCATTTGAATGAAATAAAGCACTTATTTTATACCGATCAAGGCCCATCGGGCCTTCGCTGAATCCCCGGATTGCAAGTCGGTGAGAGGCTCGGGCAGGTGCGGTGGGAACTGGTGACAAACTGCCCCATGCACTGGCACATGCTGGGAACACTTAAAGCGAGGATATCTTCAAATAAATATAAATCCGTAAACGTTTGGCATCACAAACGCCATTTATCGGCATTGCATTGTTTATAATACTGGTGATAGTTGCAAAAAGTAGTTCAATGTACAACAAAACTTTGCAGGCTCCTCTAGCTTAATGCTTGAACGTGACTGCAGGGATATAGCGAGTTTACCGTGTTGCACTTCTGCAAATCCGCACGCAACTCGTTTCGCATTTATTATCATACTATGACACCAGAACCGACACGGGAAGCCTTCCTAACCTTTTTAGAAATTTATTTCACCCTAGCTGTTTTACCTATTGACAACTAGCTGTTAACAGGACGTGTTGTTTTACTAAAACCCTGGTTTACTTATTGCGACAGAACGGAATAAAACGAGTGAAGCGCCGGGGGGCTTTTATTTTGAAGAAGTTCGGTAAAGGCCTGTTCTTTCATTTCACTTATTGCCATCAGTAGCATTTTTGTTGACAGATCGGCTGCACAACTTTAAAATGCAAGTACGCGTGTATATTCAAGACAAAGATGTTATGTAATTTAACTCGTCTATTTTCCCTAAAATAACACTCTGTTCTGTTAATTTAAACACCGTTTCACCTTCTGTTGATCTTTATCTTAGTTTATTGCCGTTTATGTTATATTTTATGTCCCATTCTTGGGGAAAAACGGCAGAAAATGTACAAAAAGTACATCAGTATCAACAAATTGTTGTATGGGTGATTCCTGTTTTGGACCACATATTTGGCTGTCTGTTTTGTGAAAATTAGAATGATTGTATTTTATGGTTTAAACATTTTGTCAGGACTATACCATACTTAGCTATGAGGAATGCATGTTTGCCAAGCTCAGGGGTTGAAAATATTATAACTATGGGATGTTTTTTGTATATATTTCTCCAGACGTTTTCCACCCTGTTAGGGACATGTACATGGTAATCGCAGAGTTTAAATAATGTACAAGTCAAACAATACTGAAATTTTCTGGGATGCAATGTGTCCCTTTTGCTATGATAAAAGTTTCATTCTTGTAGCGTTAACAGTTTTAATTTTATGAAGAGTACAATGTCAGAATAATGGAATCTGTGCATTTTTTGTCCCCATTTTGTTGTCTTGTATGAGGAAATTTATTAATTAGAAATAAAAGTATATGTAGATGCATTATATGTACCTCATTTAACAAAACAATATACAAATATACCATTAATCATTGCCTAACAGGGTGGAATAGAATATAACAGGGTGGAACCGAGTCGGCCTCTTAACAAGTAGATTCAGATTCACAACAACAATACTACTACTACAACTAATAATAGTAATAATAATAATACCAGTGTAGTAACATAAATAATTAAGAAATACACTCATAAAATAATAATAATAATACTTTTTGATTATACCCTTATTATTCTTTATCATACACAAGAAATACACTCAAATAATAAATCTACAAGTCATTTTAATGAAAATAATAAATATTCTTGTACAATATCTACTCAGTAGGCTGCATATCCCATACATAGCCTAACAGGGTGGAACCTAACAGGGTGGAATATTTCTAGCTAATTTAGCTCTAGCTCTTTGAGTGAGCAACATTTAGCTAGCAAACACTCTACAGCTTATCAGCATCTAAATAGCTATTTTTAACATGTTTTAAAATAATTTTTTCCAATAAATATTTCCCATAATATATACTAACAGGGTGGAACTTTAAGGGTGCCTCAAACCGGTGTGTAATATAAAATTGAGAAAAATACAGGAGAGAGTAACCGTTAAAGCGTACCTTAGTCTTCCAGTTGAATTTCCCCCCGAAAACAAATGATGTCACTTCGTGGAGATGGCTGTATGGATTTGTAATCTTTTTAGGGAGCCAAGAAACTAGAGGCTCACAGGGTGGAAAACGAATGCGGGGACATTTGTTTCTTTCTCTAAAGGTAGTATACCCTAGTCTATCAAAATAATGAAGAAAAAGTTTTGGTTTTTATAGTTTTATAGTTTATATTTACTGAGGAAATTGAATGCATTGTATTTGGGACATGCTAAAATTAGCGCATATTCCAGAGAAATGGTGCTTTAAAGAGATGTAAAAAGATAAAAATAGTAATTTATCTTTGTTAGAGCAATAGAAAACACCTAAACAAATAATAAAATAGGTTTGTTATAAAGATTTGTCTAATTTTATAAAAGAATAAGAGCCAGGTAAACACGAGGACATGAATATGTGGCCCAAAACAGGAATCACCCGTATACCGTTTCATAGCATGTTTACATTGTAATGTGTGCCTCGATGTGCCTCGACGTGCCTCGACGTGGAGTATAACTTTCTAAGAGCAGCAGAACCAGATTATCGGCTCGTCGCGCTTTTTGGATTTTCCGTCAGTGTTCACGGGTGGTTTGTGTTTCTACGCGATCCAGCCCCATAGACACAGTGTATTTAAAATGTTATTGTTAATAATGAGTAAACCGCTGTACGGCATTCCAACATCAACTCTCAAAGTAAAATATTTTAGCCGACACTGTTGGGAGTGAGCTGTGATCGTTTTATAATCGGTTACTGCCACCGTTGCCGTGTTGCACACTTGCCTGTGGTGTGTGTGTGTGTGTGTGTGTAAATGTATACAGTAAGAGATCTCCTACCTCCTGCAGTCTGAAAGATGACGACAGCGGCGACCACGATCAGAACGAGGACAGCGGCTCACCGAAAGAGTGTGAGAAGGAAGAAAGCGATGAGGAAGATAAGGAGCAGAACACTGCCAAAAAGAAGGTGTGTGTGTGTGTGTGTGTGTGTGTGTGTTTGGTGAGGTTGGTAGGAGTTCCGCAAACTGGCCTTCAAACATTAACCACGTTGGCGTCCATTTACACTGGGAGCACAGTGTAAGTTAAGAACAGAAGTTCTAAGAAGTTCTTAACCTTAAACGCTGGATTGACGTGCCTTGTCTTCGTCCCCAGACAGTCGTACCCGGGGCCGGGGAGCACCCGCTGCAGTACAACTACACCTTCTGGTACTCGCGTCGCACCCCGGGACGACCAGCCAGCTCCCAGAGCTACGAGCAGAACATCAAGCAGATCGGGAGTTTTGCCTCTGTGAGTCAGCATTGCGTGTCCAGCACATCTCAGACACCATCGGGCTTCTCAGACTGGCCCATTTCAAACGTTAATGTTTGAGCAGAACAAACAAGTTATTGTAAAGATTCAGTTCTGTATTGTCATTGTAAGCAACAGCACTAACGCCTTCCTGAGTATTGTGAACCTTTTACGTCATCTTCCGTTGCCGAAGACCAGGTCCAATACTAAGAACACAAGTACAGAGGATAGTAAAAATCCCCGGATGTTGTTCTTGTCCTGCCCCAAATATCAAGGATACATCGGTTGCATCTTTGCCAAATGAGACCAATCCCATGATTCATTGCGCTCCAAGTTTGTTCTTAGAAGTCAAGTTAGCAAGACCGGTCTTGCCAAGACCACAAGTACGATATTTTGCATTCTTGGTACTGAGATTAACCCAATGTGTCTTGTGCTTTGTTTTTTGTTTCTGTTAAGCATTTTATGGAAGTATATTATTGTAAAAGTATTATTCTTAAGTAATTATTATTCAGTAATGTAAGTATCTGAGTCATGCTGACTTGCTGAAAAGGTTGATTTCCTTCTTGGGAAGGTGGAGCAGTTCTGGCGCTTCTACAGTCACATGATCCGGCCCGGCGACCTGACGGGCCACAGCGACTTCCACCTCTTCAAAGAGGGCATCAAACCCATGTGGGAGGTAGCCTGTGAGGCCAGAATGTACCCTGATATGGGGAAGGTGCCACTACTGGGGGAACTGCAAGTAATATTGTGAATAAATGATGAATTTTGGATCTAAGACTCACATAATCAGTGGAAGATAATTACTGCTGCACCCTAGAGTGGCAGAAATAATTCACAAAAAAAAATTATTGATTAGTTTATTTGTTTAGCAGACACTTTTATCCAATGTAACATACTTTTTTTGACTCCCTGAAGCATTTGGAATTAAGAGTCTTGTTAAGTAATGAAATCGCCCTGTGTGAAGCTGTATGTTATACCCTGGGCGGTGTTTTGTATACCGTGCTGCTAAAGTGATTTGTATTCAAGTCTGGTATTTTTATACATTGTTAAACATCATTGCCACAATGTCTGTGTGAGGTATGACATCAGTTAATGGCCCACGCTGTAGTTTGAGATTAACTGCCCACCCTGGCAGTCTGCCAACTCTAGGATTTGAACCAATAACCCTCCGATCATAGGCACAGCATCTTAACCCGCTGGACCACGTTGTCATTGATAATAGGCTATAGTGATATTGACTTGTTCTTGTGCGGTGTGTCATCCTACCCTAATGTCTTAATGTTCTACCCACCTTCCCCCATCCTGCCCCCCTCCCCAGGATGATGCGAATAAGAGTGGGGGCAAGTGGATCATTCGCCTGAGGAAGGGCCTGGCTTCCCGCTGCTGGGAGAACCTGATCCTGGCCATGTTGGGGGAGCAGTTCATGGTGGGGGAGGAGATCTGTGGTGCCGTGGTGTCTGTACGTTTTCAGGTAAGCCCTCCCCACCCATGCTGCCCCTCCCCCTAAGATCGGGCCCCCAGTCGCTGTCAGCTTAGCCTCCCCTTTGCATGTCCCCCTACAGGAGGACATTATCTCCATCTGGAACAAGACGGCCAGCGACCAGGCCACCACCAGCCGTATCAGGGACACCCTTCGTCGGGTGCTGAACCTGCCGCCCAACACCATCATGGAGTACAAGACCCACACAGACAGCATCAAGTAGGCGCACACACACACAGACATACACACACAGACAGACACACACAGACACACACACACACACACACATACACACACACACACACACACAGACATACAGACACACACACACAGACATACACACACACACACAGACATACACACACACACATACACACACACACACACAGACACACACACAGACACACACACAGTGCTTCCAGGCTGTCTACCTGCTTGTTTTCATTCCTCTAAGCTTTCACTTACTAATTTTTGGGGGACACCTGTGCCTAGGTATTATTGGTATTAGATGGGGTGGGTGAAAAGTATTATTGTTATTAATATATAACATTAATTAATAATTAATCATTAATATTATCCATATTAATAATAATGACCATGAAATTATTAATAACATTAAATAATTAATGAGGGGCTTACTCTGACTTGCCATTAAGGAATTTAATTGCTGAATATACTTCAAAACAGATGCAGTCTTTAAACATCAATTCTGATGTAGTATGTACATTTTATTGAATATTTTAATGACAACATGCAGACGTGCTACTTACAGGACGTCAGGCTCCTGCCCGGATTTGTGAACAAGGAGCGGAGGGAGAGGCGGAGCTCCAGACGTCTGTCCCATCAGTGTCTTATCGTATGTTTCTGATTGGTCAGGGCGTGGGAAGATTTTCATGGACTCGTCAACGCCAGTGGGGGGCGCTAAAATTCCTGTGAGCTTCTGCCAAGGGTAGGAATTCTTCTCCTTTTGCCTCTGTTTTTAAATTACCCTGCCATTTGCAAGAGAAGCATTTTATTTCCCTCTGGAGTATTTGACGTCTCTAAATGGTTAATTAAAGATTTAGAAAAAGAGGAGGCCTTAGATGGCTGGAAACCAAACACAGATATTGGCCTTTGTGACAGGTTGTAATGCAGCAATGCTGAAAGTTCACTCTGCAAACTCGAACCAGACCGGGCTCTGTGCTTATGCATGTTCTCTCTCACTCTCTCTCCACCGCCTCCCACACCAGCAGAAGAGAGACCGTGCGATGTGATCGTCTCGGCCGCTGTGATTTGGGCAATGACTGTTCCGGAGCCTTTAGGGGGAAGCAGAAGAGCCAGGCAGCCCCCTTCTGTGTGTAATGTGTCTGTCCCACGTGCTCCCAGCCCGCCGTCATTGTAAATATAGTGGTACACTACACGTCTGGAAAGTGTCCCCCATGCCGCACCAAACCTTTCTCCTCGGCCGTGACCCAACTTGGCTTCAGATGGGAAGCCCCCTTTCACGTTAGTGCAGTGTTTTTAACGTGTCAGTGTTGTTTGAGCTAGAATTGTTTTATAAAAAAAAACAAATTTATATTTCTAAGTGGAACTTTTCAAGGGATCATTGGAGGACTTGCTCAGCCCTAGTTTTTGACCTTTGACCTGGAAGTGTAAACCCACAGGAAGTGAGTCATCCTAATGGTGCACTTATTAGAAGCCCTGCGCCCTCCTTCCCCTCCCCCCCCCCTCCCCCCCAAGCAACCTCTTTAGGGTGAGGATGAACTGCCGTGTTGCCTGTATCACTGTGCCTGGACTTCAGCCCGATTCTCCTCAAATTCGAAAGCTGAAGGTTTTTATTAATACTATTATTATTTTTATTTTTCCTTCGAAGCAAATTTTATTAAAGGATCACCCCAAGGTGCAGAGAGGGGCCACAAAGAGCAACACAGAAACCAGGCCTGGGATCAGATTTAGCATTTTTCTAAAGTAGAAAAATAGGTAACCTAGCCCGGTGGACTGGCTCTCTACACCTTGCAGTTCTGCTCGGAATCCAGTGGGTGGCACTGTTTCGAAAGCTGTATCTGTTGAATGAACCTGTGGGCGGATTTCACCTACTGATTATAGCAATAAATGGGAATATGCATCTGCTGCTGAAGAACGTGTGCTGTGCTCCTTCCTGATGGCCAATGTGTGTGAAGAAGAATGAATATACAGCGGATTTTGTCACGGGAAGTGCCATAAACTTTATGTTCAGCCAGAGCTGCAGAGTATTAACCTTCTAACAGGAGCATTAATGTGTAAGACTTGCGCAGCACCAGACTCATAGAGACTATACTCAAAGGTCAAAGGGTACTGTTACTTAGAATTAGCATAATCTAGTCTGATACCAGAAGTCTTTGGAGACATGCATAAGTTAAAACTGACACGAGTACTGGGTCATGGGTTTGAAGTATACATTTATTAATCTGTACTAAAGCGTGAGAAAAAGTAAGAAAAATAATGAAAAGCTAACTAGCTAAAAATAATGGAAAACAAAGTGTAAATGTCAAGAAACAGGTCTTACACATATAGGACAGGAATTTCTCCACAATATTCACACCCCCCCCCCCATCCACCCCCCTGTAAAGGGTGGGATCCCTTTCATGATTTATGATGGACACATGCTGAGACTGACCGTCTGGCCATTTTCCAGCAGGCACATCCCAGGTCAGCCCCTAAAGAGGCCAAGTACGTCTGACTGTCTGGGGCACAATGATACGGGCGAGAGGCTTCAGCTGATAGGCATTTATAGAGGTGATGACCTTCATTTGACGGGGGGGGGCTGTGCAAATCCCGGATTCCCAGGGACCGATTACTCTTTGAAGTGTTAATCCGGCACTGACTTCTGGTCAGTGTAAATGAGAAATACTGCGAGTAGGAGGGGTTTGTCTGGAATTGTAACCGGCGTTCAGGTATTGTGTTGGAGTTTGTGGAGCTCTGGATCATTCTGTGGGATTTTAACAGCAGGGTGTGATTGGGCGGGAGGCTAAAACTGGGGGCTTGTTCAAACAGAAGGAAGGTCACTGAAGCACTGGTTCTTTCTTACGGCTCTTCTCCGCTAGGTGAAGGCGTGAGTAAGTGAAGTCTGATTTTCCCCGCGTTGGTGTAATTTTTTAATGGTTGTCGTTCAACCCTTAATTGCCATCTTCTGCAGACCAAGGATCTCCATCATCAGATTTCCTCTATGAAACTTCTCAGTGACTAGATGCCCAAATCCTGCAACTCGGCCCATCAGTTCTGGGGTTTCTAGATGGCTCAGCTCATCTCGAAGAACATGTGATTCTTGCAAAGGAGAATATGAGAAAAGAGAATCATGGAACTGCAGAATTATTACGGCGGCCAGTTTTAATGACGTATACAGGGAATCTTCTTTCAATTTACAAATTCATTTATGTTTTATGCTTAATGTTCATCGCCAAGTAGGGATTAAAATTTGTTACTCACCAGAAGGAAGGTAGCAGCAAGTAAAAGCAGTTTGTTTCTGGGACTCATTTCTTGAAGTACTGTGGAGGAAACAAACAATCTTCTTTAACAGCTGTTCTGAGTCACCTTGCGCTCACTTCATGGAAGCAGAGGCCGGGATCAGAAAGCGATTTCACCGTCCAGCCCGAAGTATTCATGGTCCATGTTGTATTCCTTGTTGAATCCGGGCCATTTCTTCCAGATCCTCCCTAGTGTCTCTCCAAGCATCGAAACCACCTAATACGTGTGCAGGGAGAGAAGCATCACGCTAAAATGTCACTTGGTGTTCTTGCAGTTTCTCTACGCATTTTAACTGCAGTGTCACTTGGTCAGCATCAAGACACACTCATGCAGGATACTTTGAAATTTGGTAAGAATGACATTTCAGGGGGTGGCATGGTGGTGCTGTGGTTAGCACTGTTGCCTCAAACCTCTGGGTTCGAGTCTCCGCCTGGGTTATACGTGTGTGGAGTTTGCATGTTCTCCCCGTGTCGTCGTGGGGTTTCCTCTGGGTACTCCGGTTTCCCCCCCACAGTCACAGACATGCTGAGGCTAATTGGAGTTGCTAAAATTGTCCATAGGAGTGAATGGTGTGTGAGTGTGCCCTGCGATGGGCTGGTGGTCTCCCATCCTAGGTTGTTCTCTGCCTCGTGCCCATAGCTTACAGGATAGGCTCCAGACCCCCTGTGACCCAGAAGGATAAGTGGGTTGGAAAATGGATGGATGACAGTTCAGTTAATAGAGGGACACAGGCCTATTATCGGCATTGGTTTTGGAGATTAACTGTTGGGTGGCGTGTGGCTCATCAGTTTTGGATGTTGTGCCTGTGTTCAGTAGGGTGCTGGGTCAAATCCCAGGTCCCTGTTCCCATCGGGCCCTTAACCCCAGCTGCTCCAAACACTAGTTGACCCTGTTTTCTCAAAAAAATGTAAGAATAGCAATTCCTAGATAAAATCCTTGGAAATTGGGATTAAAAACATTGGAGAGTTGGCAGTAGATCAGGATAAGGGTGAGGCTGAGTGCGGGGTTACCGTGTGCATACCTGAAACTCCTGGTTGGCATAGCAACGGCAGGGACAGCAGGAGCCCTGGACTCGAGCCACGAACGTCCCGTCCGAGTCACAAACCTCGAAGAGGGGGGTGAACATGCTCCACCTGACGACAGACGGTGAGGCGGGACGTAGACATGGGTGACAGAGGTCTCTCGCATAATTGACTAGGCTTAATCACAGCTGATGCGAGAAGATAGAGCCCAAAACAGCTCCTTCAACCTTCTGCAGTTCTGCTACACGAGAACAACAGGCAGCGGCAGTAAATGCTAGTTTTTAATGACCGCAGCTGCTCTGTCTCAACGTTGGGCCTTTACTGTCCCCCGCAGCATGAAAAACAACAAAGGCCTGCTTTACATGACCCTCCGGCGTCTCTGGCTCCAGTAGAAAGCTGCCGTTCGGTTCATGACAGCCGTCTTTGAGATCTTATGAATGGTTCAGAGAGTCTGACGTAATTCAGTTAAAGCCCAAAGCAACAAAGCCTCCCTCTGCCAGCCTTATTCATCCAGAGCCCCATCCAGGCTTGCAAAGTTCTGTATGGACAGCTGTGCTTTTTGTAAGTCCCCCCCGCCCTTGTTAAGTTTTAAAGACAGGCTACGTAAGAGAGAGACCCCCAAAACTGCCCCCTCCTAACCAACCTCTGGTACACGGCCCCCGCTAGCTGTCCGTCGCCATCGAAGGCCTGCATTTCCATCAGGCAGCAGCCAAGACAACACGCGTCCATCCGCGGGGGCCTGTCGAACAGGAAGACCTGGTGGGCTTGGCGGTCGAAGGCGCGCAGGGAGCAGGAGCGAGCCGGGCCGCAGCAGTGCAGGCACAGACACGAGCTCTCTGCAGAGACACAGCCGCAGAATCCATAAGAGGAAAGGAGAGCAGCTCCCTCGTATCCCATGATGCATCAGCCCAAATGTGCTACAGTTACCTTCGACGGCCACGTAGAGCTGCTCGCTGGTTCCCGTGGCGATGCTGTATGTCCTGCGGGGCACGCAGCGGGGACCTGTAAACAAACCGAGCGACGGTGACGGATCATTTTTACTGCCCCCGCCGGCACGTGTGCACTTGCCGATAGATGGCCACGTGCATGTCTGCAGAATAAAGAACTTGGGCCCCTTTCTGGGACCGGGGGAGGGAAGAAGGGGGCACTTTAACGTCAGGTGGAGGACCCAGATTGGAGAGCAGTGGGGGGGAAACAAGCCATTCAATGCCAGACAATAGCGGCAGTTAAGGGACAAATATGCAGGCAGTTCTCAGCTGACGTAAGTAACATATTCCACAAACGCTTACGTCAAATTTTTACGGAAAGTCAGATTTACTTTCCTATACGACAGGACAAACAAAACCTCATGATCCAAATATAGTAAAGGCCATATATTAAATAAATGAAAAGATAAAATGTAAATTTACTGTACATACAGGAGTAAATCACCTTTTTGCTGTAGCACTTCCCTAAACACTGATTCTTTGGTATTTTTTAAATCGAGAGCTGACTGTAGATTTTACATCATTTTACATTTTAAATCAAGGTTCTTTGTTAGGGTCAGTATTTAATAAAATGTGATAGATTACTGCCTTCCTGTCCAGAATGTTCCCTGCTCCCTGCTCAGCATTATGGGTAAATGGATGACAGCAAACATACAACATGACCACTTCAGAAGCTCTGAAGATATAGAGATGCAGAGGCTAAATCTGAACTTTTCCACTTCAGAATTTGGGTTGTTTACAGCCCCCAGATTCCAGTAAAAGATGGTAATTATTTATGAAGTTACCATGAGATTAGCACAAAATCTCACAGTTGGTGATAAGAACATAAGAAATTAACAAACGAGAGGGGGCCATTCGGCCCATCAAGCTTGGCGGCCGAATGGAAAGCCATTCGGCCCAGTCGCTAATTAAATCCAGATCCCATTGTAGCCTCTCTGCTGCTAGATCAGTATCTGCTACACCACCCACCTTGGTGTCGTCTGCAAACCAGTTTACTGTATGTATTGGTGTCAATATCATTAGAGGTGATGACCTCTGACCTTGCAGTTCAGGCCTGGCTGTGATGCGTAGCTGGCTGATGTTATTCAGCAGTGTCAGGCCCTCTGCCCCGTATCCGTGCCGACGCTGGTTCCCGTCCCCACCAGGGCCCACACCATCTTCTGCGTCTTTCTCCATCACCTCCCCCTCTTCACGGCCAGGACCCGCCCCCTGGAGACCAGGAAACACTGCGGAGTCCTCGTGGTCCGACGAAGGTCCCGGCACCTTGCGGAAGGCGTGGAAGAGCGCCTCGATGTGTCTCTCTCGCTCAAGGCGGCCGAATGGCAGAGGCTGGACCGTTACCGCGGACATCGCCTGAAACAGGCAGCATACAGACGGACAGAGAAGGGAGCCAATCGGAAAACAGAAACCGCTTCACCTTTAGGTGAGAAAGCGAAGGAAAATCCACGGATAAGTTAACATATTAAGCACGTAAAGTAAAACGACACCGGTTAACCCTATTCACAGAGCAGGACTAAAGATCTGTGACATTTATGGAAAAATGTATAATGAGGCTCACCTGTAGATCCAGCGAAGAATGCAGGTTTTTAAAAAGTCCTAAGTGTTAAAAGATGCCTCCTCCAGACTGATTTCCCTGTTTCAAAATCAATCACACCGCACTCATGTAAACAGCACGCCTTTGCATTATGGGTTCTTAGCACCACAGGTGTGCAGTGACACCCCGATGGTGCCCGCTGCGGCTCGGAGAGTAGAGGGTGCACAAATGCCACAGCGTTGTGAAGGTCAGGCCAGGAGACACCTCTCTGAGAAAGAGGAGGGGGCCCACAGAGGTGGGGCATCCTGCTCCATATCCTTCCCTAGCATCCCCCCACCCCCATTTCAAGTTGCCCTCCCTTTCATGTCACTGGTGTCCAACCTGACAGGCCGGATCTGCCCACTGGATGGGAACAATGGCCTCGCTCACCCGTGTAATCGAGGTCCGGGGCGAGCGAGTTGTGTTACAGCCCTTTCGGACTGAAGGGGTCCCCAGTAACTCCTTGGTTACCTCTGCCGTCGTCCGGCAATCCCGGTCCTTCTTCTGCAAACTCATCAAATTTCTTTAAATGCTAGAAATAATAATCTGCAACCCCCTCAAAGCAGAGCTTATTTGTCACTGACCAAAGCAAGTGGGAATGATTCATAGCCTTGACCCCCCCCCCCCTTCCAAACCCATCTTCCCAGCAACAAAATTGAATGACTCCTGATTTGGTTAAAGCTGCACCCCATCAGGGCAATTTCTGCTTCTACCCTGCCTGCACGAGCAGTGTTTGCTTAGCAAACAGCCCTTGCCAGGGAGGTACGGTAAACACCGGTTGCTTAGCGCCGCCGCAAGCTGTCGCCATTCCTCTTCCAAGTCGCATTCTCCACTCAGACGGATGATTAATTCACTTCTCCGAAAAGGCCACTTCATCTCGGTTTATTGTACGAAGGAGGATAAACAATTTCCAGCCATATTTCAAGCGAACGTACAGCTCGCTCGTGCTCCCCGAAAATCCTGCCGCCATTTAAAAGTTGCATTCACACAGGAGTTACACTGCAAGTGGAAAAAAACTAATTCAAGCAGAAAGATATAAAGCTTTGGCATGAATTACAGAGCAGAGATTCCATTAGTTCATCATTTCTTTGCTGCCTTGTTTCCAGAAAGCACACAAACATGAACCAGCACTAGAGCTCTGTAGAAAGTTACGGCAATTAAACTAAAGTAATCTAAACGAAATCTCAGTGTTTGTAAACAAATATCTGGAGGACACCTTGCCCCACAAGTTAACCATGTGAGCAAGGTCTCCAGCCTCTCATCTTGCTCTTCTACACCAGCCAGTCCAGCTACACCCCTGTGGTCCCCTTGGTGTGGTAACAACCGGGGCAGGTACGTTCCAGCAGTTTTAGAAACCTGCTCCGGAATCAGCCAGTCATTGTTTGTTTGGTCTCTTGTTATTCTGGTAAATATTTTCTGGGGTCGCCGGGGAAGGGCAGGGGAGGGGCCTGGTTGTAGTGTCCCATGAGGAAGATGCTGACAGTCCCGAGGATGAAGAGCAGCGACATGGTGATGAAGCACACCCTGTCGATCACCCGGGCCACCAGAAACCACTCGTTGTTCTCCTGCGGATCACCAGCAGGGGGGAGTGAGGAACGGGAAACAGGAAGTGGGGTTAAAGATATCCCGTGATACGTCTCTGGCGCACTCACGCTGTGGAAGCGGCTCTGCTGCCGGGTGCTCTCAGCGATATGCTTGCAGGAAGCCACGCACTGCCGCACCTCCGGCGAGGCCTGGGCCAGGCTGGACCCCAGTTCCTGGGCCATGTCTCCCGCCAGGCCATTCTCTGGGGGGCAGTCGACATCAGATTCACTGGCCAGGTAAACCTGCATGTACTAGGGATTTCTCTTGGCAGTATTGGTGCTCACATTCATAGACAACATAGAACAGGGTTCCCCAGTTCCGGTCCTGGAGGGCCAGAATCCAACACAGTTTGCAAATTTGGAGAGATTATATCTCTCGGCTGGCCTGGGAACGCCTTAGGATTGCCCTGGAGGAGCTAGAGGAGGTGGCTGGGGAGAGGGAGGTCTGGGCTTCCCTGCTTAGACTGCTGCCCCCAGGGCCTGACCCCGGATAAGCGGCAGAAAATGTATGAATGGATGGATGGATATACGAAGTAGAAATTAAATAATTAAAATATGAGCAATAGTGCAAATCAGTACAGATTACATCAGTAAATTGTGCAATGTGTATAAGTCCAGCTAGATGTGCAAGCATAAGTTCTCAAATATAGGCAAATAAATAATGGCATACGTATATAGTTTTGCAAAAGAACACAGCAGCAGTGAAACATGCAGGGAGTCTGGGAATGTGCAAAAAGTATGTGGGTGCAGAGATGTACACATTTTATGGGAACTAACTCAAGTCTGATTGGTCAGCATTCCTGCACGTGGGAAGAAGCCATTGAAGCGGCGTTTTAATTCGGTTTTCCTTGCCCAAAAACATTTGCCAGAAGAACATTTCAGAATAGGTCTCAAAGGCAGGACAAGGAAGAAGGGAACAAATGAGGAGGAGAGGACATGAACCGGGCAGAGAGACAGAATGTCACCAGTAATGGGAAGCTGAGGAGTCTGCACGTGTAAGTAGAAGACGGAGAGACTCACGGATCTTCTCGAGCGCCGCCCTGGCCAGGCCGGCCCTCTCCCTCAGCCTGAGGAACATGAGCTCAGAGCGGGCCGTCCACGCGGCGTACTCGTCCGCCTTGGCGATGAGGCCCAGGGAGCTGCACCGTCGGAGGCTGTACGAAGGTTCTGTGGGTGTCCAGCGCTGCATGTTCATGCGCAGAACCCGTGGTAGCAAGTTCAGTAGGATCTGTCACACACGGGGCACAAAAACCTTCTAAAACCAGCCTAGACATCAGACGACAGGTTTGTGCTTCATCCAAAAAATCATGGGCAGTTAGTAGCTTGACACCTATTTCAAGTTTTTTAAAAACAAATTATTTTTGCTTTATGTTTACCAAAGCCATCTCAGCACTGTCGTCTTTTGATTTTCTTCATCGCTAGTCATTTCGGGATACAGATTCTCTTCAAATTACGATGGGGATATGTTGCGATTAACACATCGTAAGTTGAAAATATCGTAAGCCAAATATAAATACGATATGATAAATAAGTAACGATACGATGCGTTGTTAAACGATGTATGAGGTGTTTACTCTCGGTATTGCTACAGAGACTGCAAGCATGGCTGTGTGGTTGCCAATGCCAAGGGCGTAACTATTGGGTTGAACATTGGGAGGGTTGAGATCCTTCCCCGTAGTTTACGTTCATGACCATCGCCTAGCATCATTAGAAAGTATCATACAGTATATCACTAGCTTGGGAACAGTTAAAAAATCAAAGTTTGGTCTGATGACTACTGAGTGTGGATCAGTAATGCACCGTCGTAAGGCGAGGAGCATCTGTATTTAGTTTGGAAAATATCATATCCAGAATGGACACAGTACCTTCCGGACTTTGTCTGACATCGAATGTGTGTTTGGAGTCCGCCGAGAAACATTGAGCACGATAACGCAGTTCATCACCACGATGGTGGTCACCGACATGACGAACATCAAGTACCTCCGGAAAGAGACTCAGTCAAACGAAATGACACTGCTCACTTCTGGATATAAAATTTGTGGGGGAAAAAATTATGAATATTTGTGATTTTAAATCATTTTGGATGTTTTTTTTTTCTACATCAGCATAACAGAACTCACAGACTACAGGGAGATACTAGAAGGTCTTACTTTCCAATGAGCGGCATGGCCTGTGAGGTTTCCGGAACTTTCTTGGCAATGAGGAACAGGAACACAGTCTGTGCTAGGAGCGTGGTGATGGACATGGTGCATTTCTGTCCTCCAGCTGGACCAAACATGACCGAACATCTCAGCACCGAAATTTACGGTTCTCATGCAGACATGTCATTTTTTATGATGTAATAACTTTGGCATGTGATCCTGCAGCCCAACGGGATATTGGAGAGGCTAAAACCATGAAGGCGGTCACACCTTTAGCGGGGAGGAAATAGACGAGGAGGGCCAGTGATGAGATCAGCACACAGGGCACGATCAGGTTGATGATGTAGAACAGCGGCTTCCTCTGGATGATGATGAAGAAGACCAGCTGCTGGTATTCCAGCTCATCTCTGCTGTACTGTTCATGGATGACCTTCTTCGCCGGCCGGTGTTTGATGACCCACTCGCCGTTCTCTGAAAGGGCGAGGTGGGGGGTTTGGGCTGAGCTGGGAAGGGGGGAGGGGGACACTCTCTAAGATGTCTATAGGCCAGTAAGGGGTTACGATCCAGCACCCTACCCGTAAATGCTTCAGGATCAATAACGATCCACTCGATGGTCTGGCCCTCCTCGGACGTGAGAACAAGATCGATCTCCTCTGCGCTGTAGGTCTGCGAGCTGCGGGATGCATGACGGGGAGACAAAACAGATGAAGTAGTTTTCTATTCTCCATTTGCAAGAGTACCTATGAAGACATCAATTCTCACATATAACTTTTTGCTTCCTAGAGAGACACACAAGTACAGACACTCCTCACTTAATGAACAGCGGCTTCCTCTGGATGATGATGAAGAAGACCACCCGCCCAGACTTACGACCAGCTCTCCGCCCAGTCGATATTGTACGCTGTACCAGAACTTTGGTCATGGAAATGGCAGCGTAGCATCTCAGTGTCAAACATCTCATCTCTCGTCACCCTCTCTCGTTCCCCCACAGTTTTTTTTGCTACATCATTTTTATAATTTTTGCTGATTTTTATATTTTTATGCTCTGTAATATGTAAGAGTTCTGCAAATAGTTTCCATTAGATCTTTTCATTATTCAGAATATTCAGAAAACTAATTACCTGTATTTACAGTATGCAAACCTAAGTAATTTAGAATAGAGCTGATTTCCTCAATTCTTATGCTTGAAATATTGGTAAGGGGCAGCTCCTCGCTTATTGACCAATTTGCTTAATGACCTAGTTGCAGGAACGGATCTCAGTCGTTCAGTGAGGAGTGTCTGTATAAGAAAGAGCGAAGCTTGGGCTCAGAGCCCAGGGCAGCTGTTCATCCAGCATCCCTGGCACAGTTTTTGGAGTTCAAGGTGTTGCTCATTGGCCTGACAGTGATACGATTATGCTGCCGATCATGGGACTCGAACCAACAACCATCCGGACACAGTCACGGAGCCAGAAACCGCTCGGTGAGACATTCAGGCATTTGGAAGAATAGTGACCAGTGACCTTCACGCATTGGTTTTCACATGCAGTGGTGAGCTGTCACTGCTCACACTCACCGGAAGACCATGGAGCAGTTCTGCCAGTCGAAGGGGAAGTAGCTGACGGTGATGGAGCAGGCGCTGCGGTAGATGGTGGGCGGGAGCCAGAGGATGCAGCCCGAGGGGCTCACCAGGGCGTTGGTGTACAGTGTGATCTCAAACTTCCCATCCACGCTATGGGGGAGAGAGCAAAAGACATCTGCTCTGATCTAGGGGCGAAGACACTGAACTCATGGTCAAATAGGCAAACTTGGAATGAGGTGGTCAGTGAGGATCCACAGGTCAACTCAGGTAGGACACTGCATACACAGGTAGGACACTGCATGCACAGGTCAGGATGCATAGCAGGGTATAATTATTACATCATTTAATGCTTCTTCCCCTCAGACTTAGACGTCTATACATGGCTAGTGAATCAATCCATCCACCTTCCAGCCTGTCCCAGGCTGCATAGACCACAGGGCTGGGGAACACGCCGGAGGGGATGTCAGCTCATCACAGGGCACACGCGCGCACACGCACACGCACACGCCACGGCCAATTCAGGGATGCCGATTAGACTGACTGCATGACTTTAGACCACAGAACCATACCGGAGTACCTGGAGGATACATGCTACAGAGTGAGTGTGTGAAAATGCACACAGAAACACACACACACACACACACACACACACACACAGATGATCCAGTTTAAGAACTCTTCAGGGGAGACGTTCTCACTTGTTCTCCAGGCCAACGTCAGGAAGCCAGATGCTTTTGGACGGGATGCGGAGGCAGGTGATGTTTCCATATTCTGGTATGTGGTCCCACCTCAAGCGGTAGTCGCACCATTGCTAAGGAGTGACAAATGCCAGCTCACTCTACAAAGATCAGGTTACTAAGCAAACAAATGTTTGTATACTTCATTTTATCACAAAAGTTATTTATTTTTTGGCCTCAGCAGCTGTACCATATTAGGGTCTTTATAAAACACCAAACACGAGTCAGAGAAGAAACATCTTCTACTACCAGATACTAACAACTTCCACACATCCAACGTCAGAGTATAAGGTCTGTTTGTTTTTGCCTTTACCAGTTCAGTCCAAACGTTGGTAGTGAGAGCCTCTTCTCGCTCGTTCTACAAAAGCAAAACATTCATGAGAAGATGAATGATATTTTCCACTCAATTCAAAGTTACACATCTGAACCATAAGGAACTGGACTGGATTCCACAAAGACAGACATGAATCTCACCAGAGAGATGAGGTTTGTGAGGGTCAGCTTGAACTTCACCTCAATGATGTCGCTGTTCTTCTCTGCGGGACGGATGTTCTTGTTGTAGCCTCTCATCAGGTCCCTCAAGAGCAGCCCCTCTAGGTTCAGTCCCAGAATGCCTGAGCGAGATGAGCCACTTTAGATTTTTGACCTTTGACCTCTGACCTTTGACATGGGAGTTGTGTTGCTGAAGCACTGGAAGGTCAGTGTGCCCTCTGTGTTTCAAGTCATTCAAACACTTGGTAGCTTTGGCAAATGTGTTCTCAGCTTCAACGGGAAGACAAAGACTTGCCGTTGCAATTGATTGTAGTGCAGAAAACCTCTGTCATTTATTAATGTAGAATTCCCTAATTCATTTTCATCCAGAAATCTGGCATGATATCTAACAAATTTGTCGGCTTATGATTAATGTCATTTCTTCAGAGATTTTTTTTTACAGACAAGTAACAGTGATTTATTGTGATTTATAAAACCATGAGCCACAAAACAGCACATAACTAGAAAATGATCTAATGCATAAGTTTCACTGATATCTTAAGATAATTGTTAATAATTAGATGTAATCGGTAGCAGTGAAGCGACAAGAGAAACCACTTATGTCACATAACAGTGTCGTAACTGCAAATTATGGAAAAATATACATATTTAATAATCATTTATAAAATACAGAAATGCACAAGTCAGCAATTAATTGTTGTGACAGAAACACAATAGAAACACAACCAGACCAGCACCAGAACCTCAGAGTTCACGGGGCAAACGTTACCTGGCAGGCAGACGGTGAGAGTCAGGAGGGCCAGCGATGAGGAGGGAGATGAGTTCAGTCCCATCGTCCGAAGCGGAGGCTACAATCTCCCCACAGAGACGCCCGTCTCCCTTTTCCCCTCCGGTCACTGGGTGGAGTCTTTGCTCACCAGCCTGCCGGAGGGTTATTTTTGGGCAAGCTGACTTCAAGTGGCCCAGTGCGTTGTCAGCTGTCAGCGTACCCCCCAACAAGATGGCCTGTCCCTGCGGTGAGACCTCAGGGGGTGCTGCATGAGGTGCATGTGTATGTGTTTTTTTGTGGGGGTGGGGGGGACATTCACAATGTGTGTGTGGGGGGCGGGATTTGCGGTATTTCTGTTACTCATTCAGACGGGAGCTACAAAGAACGCAGATAATGTTACGCCGTTGATGCGATGTGTTCCCGTAGACGGGCTGCAGATGGCCGCTGGCTGCATTTCTGCAGAGAGATGGGGGCGAGCAGCTGAAATGCACTCGCATGTTTCTATCTATAACAAAGGCAGCCGGGATGCAAGCAAGCAGCTGAAATGCGCTCGCATGTTCTTATCTATAACAAAGGAATCTGGGATGCTGGCGCGCAGCTGAAATGCGCTCGCATGTTCTTATCCATAACAAAGGAATCTGGGATGCAGGCGTGCAGATGGCCCCAAAATTTAGCTTCTTTCACTCCTGTATACATAAAGTTTTTCTTTTTTTTTACAAGTTACAGTCACTAAACGGACTGGGAACTCCAAAGCGCCTTTTCAGTCTGCCTCAAAACCATCTCTTGCATTGAATAAGCAGCTGTTGTTGCTGGGCAACCAGGTCAAAGGTCACTTTGGTGTCACTGTCCTAAAAGTGCTTGTTTACAGGCGACCAAGTTGGTTTTCAAAAGGCATAACAAGCACAGGAGTGCCGGCGGAGAAGCAAATGTAACTGAAATGGATATATGAATAAAGCTGAAATACTCTGAATGAAATGGCCAGACAAACCTGGCAACTCTCACATCCTTTGGAAAACCCAGAATTTTAATATTATGGGAATGATACTCATGGGATTGACAGTTCAGTAATCAAGGGTATTACTCCTTGGCTGTACTTCAATATCTAATATATATTAGAAATAAATAGCAGTAATCTATTTTTGTCGTTCCTTACAGAAGAAACAAATAGCTGAATTGTTGAAAGCTGTTGTAGGGCAGCACATACATAAAAAACATACAAATACACAATCTTAACAATACAACGCAAAAGGGTTTAATTGAGCCATTTTATTTTGATACTTTCATGACTCATCTCCAAGCCCCGACAGTTTCCCGTCACCATCTGTGTCTGTCGGTTCCCCTTGCGGACAAACCATCAGTGAAGCATTTAGAAAATCTCACGGATATTCAGGCATTCGGCCACTCGGGACCCGAGCGGACAGCTGACTAGCAAACGATCGCACAGGACCAGGCATGCTGACAACGTCTGGGACGCGCCCAGCCTTTCAGAGAGGATGTGTGCATACTGGCAGACTCCTACTGGTTCCTGTTGAAAGAGGTTTCCAAAAAAGACTCCGCTGACATGCCTTCAGGACTACAAAGAAAAAAAACACGTCACCGAGCTAGTGTATACATATTAAAGATTGCGCTAGTTCTTAAATATTTTATCTTAAGCTCATTATCCCACCTTGCACGTTCCTGATCTCAGAAGAATTTTTTTGTGATTTTTGTAAATGTTTTTAAACAAGAGGAGCCAACGGACTTAATTAAGGGAGCAGATTTAGCGTGATGCTCAACGAACATTCTCCAGAAGAGATGCCAGTTCATCCTAATCTCTGATAAACAATAGCATCAGAATTTTCTTTCTTTCAAGATAGTGAACTTCATGGAAGCTATGGAAGGAGAGCTGAGAAGGTGTGGTCCTTCTCTGCATTGTCCTTTATCAGGCAGCAGTATATTTGTGTGGTTCTGTGAACACAAGCCTTGGAGGACTTTGGGATAAATTCCTACTGGTGTCTATCTGCTGTGCATAATAAGTCAAACAAGAAATGAAGAACACAGAATATACCCAGAAATTTATTTAAATTGCCATAGCTGGCAGGGTAGCTAAATGATTTAGACAAGACTAGGGCCTCTGTGGTAACGATTGAATCCTACCTCTCCATGGCTGCATCTTAATGTTCTTGTTAGGGGCCCGGAGCCCTCATGGCAATTTTTATTATAGGTAGCTTTGGTGCTGCACATATCTGGCCACAGAAGGTTCCGGTAGGCTAGGGAGGAAACCAGTAAGGTTAGGAGATGGAGGGTGTGATGAATGTTATTATTTTGTTTAAGCAACGTTTTTTTGTTTGTGAGAAATATTTTCCAAAATGGAATGAGGAAGATGTCCAGGCCTTTGAGGCAGCTGAGGATTCATCAAAAAAGTGCTTAAAAAAGCACCACAAAGAAAACACAATGGAAACAAAACTCGTCACTTTTTCATCTTCTTTTCTTGGTTTTTCTGCAAAAATACAAAGTATTTGTGTACATGCAAATAAATACCTAAAAAATTGAAAATACGTTAATGATGTTGTCTGCTTCACTCAGAAAAGGCTCAATCTCTGTAAACACAGGTTTGCCAAATGTGTGTGTATGTTTGTGTGTGTGTGTGTGTGTGTGTGTGTGTGTATATATGTGTGCACGTGCATCCATGCTCTGCCCTCACAGCCATGTGAGAAGGCAGGTCATCCAACGGCATCACATCTAGTCTCCATGCTATGAATCCTGTTTTACAATTACATCCACATACATGTTTCTACCAGAAGGCCCTAGAATAGCTGCATGTGTGCAGAAGTACGATGATGAATCCTGACAGCTAGGAGGCAGCAGAGTCCCCCCCCCCATCTCTGCCGACACAGGCACACCTGTGGACAGCGACAGCAAGTGGAGGCTCAATGGTCCCACTATCCACGAGACACCCTGTGTCTACCCATCAAGGCATTTCAGATATTAGCCCCCTGCCCCACCTCCAGGCCACGTCTCTAATAAGCTTTCAGCGCGTCTAGAGCCAGGGCGATGACTTGGGGCATGCTGCGATAGAAGGCCTCGTTCTCCAGGCCCACCAGGCAGTGGAATGTGAGGGTATGGCCACCCACCATGGCCCGGATGCGGGCCTCGTAGAGCCCCTTCTCATTCTTCGTCATCAGGTCTACCAGCACCTGGAAAGGGGTGGAGAACGAGTGTCCAGGAAGTGGTTCTAAAAACCCTAACCGGCACATGGTCCATAGTCCATCAAACTTATCCATACCTTCGGGGGAAGAATGTCGTATACCTACTGCTGGAATAAGGTGGCCTCGAGGGACTCAAGACATCGAAGTCAAAGCTGGAGAGTAATTTAAGGCTGGAAATGGAACTGACCTCCTGGAAGTTCATGCAGAGGTTCTTGGTAGGGATCCCCAGGACCCAGCGGTACATGTCTCTGATCAGGCTGGTGTTGTGCACCACCTCCAGCACCCCAGGACATGCTAAGACACACACGACTAACATTACTGGGCGCCCTGTGACATCTGTCTCCTCTTGGGTTCTCCACGTAATAAATACACTTACAGGTGTAATACTGCTAAACAAAACATACCTTTGCCGTTTTCTCCAGATGCCCGTCTCTCACGCAGACCTTTCCATCTCCTGTGGGCTCCTGCTATGCAGAAATGGATTAAAAGGCTTCAAAGACTCTATTCATGTTGTGCTCCACTCTACTTGGTCAGAGCCTTTTAAATCTTTCTAATAAGTGGTGGCTTGAGCTGAATTGTAAATGGCTTTGAGTTCAGTGACTTATGTGGAAAAGTCCCAGAGGACTCACCTTCTTGCGTCCTGAAGATGGCAGAGTTCGGAAATAGCTTCGCCATGGGCGGAGTAGCAGGAGTCCAAACAGGATCTGGAACTTCCTCCCCACCAGCACGAGTGTCATCAGGTGTTGGTGACTGATGGAATGGAGGGAGGGCCGGAAGCCCATTCCCGCTGGCAGCTGTCACACAGGGACAGAGCGGCTTGACAGATTCCTGTGGTTGTGCTGTTGATGGGGCCCCTGAACCGGGGTCAGGCCCCTGACCTCCAAGCTTGTGTGATTCTGGGCCTGGATCCCGGGGCACAGGTACCGCTGACATGCTCACCGTTGCGGTGGCCAATAATACGCCACCTCTTTCTAACCTGGACCGCAGCCGACCAATCAGCCAGCGGTACTCCCCCAGCAGCTGGGCAACAGCACGGTCTCCCTCCTGCCATTCGACACAAGCTGTCATCACACACCATACCTCAGTGTACAGATCACACAGATAACTTAGGATTCATGATGTACCTGTAAGAAGAGGCTCCTCTCCCTGGGCAGAGACTGAACATCTTCAGTAGTAGGCTGCTGGTCCCAGTGCTTAGCAATGTCCCTCAGGAAGTCTGCCCAGTCGCCTGCCTGGGGTCCCACTTCCTTGAAAAAGGAAGGTGGGCGATGACCCATGGCTTCAGGTGACATGGTGACCCCTACCTGTGCTTTTAAAATAATTCTCCTGTTATTCCATTGTAAACATACTATATTATCCAAACTATAAAAACCCACAGGACCTGTAAAACATTGCACTTAATCGTAATATATGTTAAATCACGGAAAAGTATTTTTGTGGTCCTCCAGTCCACCAGGGGGCACTTTCAGGAATGGCAGTACCATACCTGGCAGTGTTGGAGCAGTCCTGCGTTTACGTGTGGAGTAGGCAGTGTTGTAGATGTGGTCCACCAGCTGGGGAAGGGTCTGAGTAAAGAAGGTCAGGTCAACTTTGTCCCGAATGTAATCCTCTGCACGCTGCAGGAGGTCCAGCAGGGTTTGCAGGAATGAGCGCATCTCTGCAAATGCAATAGTCCTACATGTTAGAGAATGCTAGGAATTCCCATATTGAGACCTGGTATAGCTTATAATTTGTTCCCTGTTCACGGAAAAATTTTACTTTCCTCAAGATGATATACATAGTTCCAGATATTTATTACTTTGCATCTAGCTCCATTAAATGTAAGCTAGCCAATAGGTCACAAGCTGGAAAAGTAACAGCCAATAAGAAGAGTCAACCATGCAAACCACAAACCAGGTAACTGCTGCAGCTGAATATTTGCTTCACATCATTTGCAGCCATTTGCAAAAAGGTTTTGGCTTCACTACGCGAATGTTGGGCCACTCACGGCATTTTCTGAGGCGGCCTCGACACCTCTCCTCCGCTGCCTGGCTGCAGGCTGCAGCGCCCTGTGCAGGGGGGCAGGATCCAGTGTAGAAGCGACACAGGGAGCTGAACTCCGACCTCTGCTGTTCTTCAGGAAGCTCGGACGTCTTCAACAGCTCGGTACACGTGGGCTCCCGGCTTCCGGAAGATTCTGCCGATGACAAGGTAGTGGGGACACAAATATAAGAAAAGGACAGCATGAACCATGCAAAATGACGCTACATTTGGGGCAATTATTGCCCTATAGTCACTAAAAAAAGCTAATTATAAGAGGTATGTGGAACTGCATCTACTGGAAGCGCACTTTGCATTTCCCCCAGGATCCAGTCAGAGAAAGCTGTGACGCGTGTGTACACCCCCGGCTTCCCCTTCGCCCCACAGCCGTCGCCCCAGGATGTGATGCCATGCAGCTGGAAACGGCCAGAGGGCTGGTCCTGGTAGATCAGGGGTCCTCCTGAATCACCCTGCAACGTGGGCGATAAGAGCTAGAGCTCTGGTCCTTTTCTCTTAACAGATGGACTCCAGCAGCAGCCAGAGACTGACATTGTCTTGCTATCGGGGTAGATTTCCATTTACATTTAATTTATTTAGTAAGGCAAATGGCACGTTACAAAGATGCGACAGTCGAGGGGTGAACTAGACGTAAATGCAGCTAGTCAGAAACCCACCTGGCAAGAGTCGACGCCGCCGCTGAGAAAGCCGGCGCAGAACATGGTGTTGGTGAGCAGCTCCTTGCCCAGGGCGTTCCTGCACGTGCTCTGGGGCAAAAGGGGCACTTTGGCCTCCATTACTTGCTCAGTTGAAGGCCCATCTTACAGAAAAAGGTGGTCAGGCGAAAACTTCCATGCTGAACATCTGCTGCCCGCCTGGGTAAGGCATTAAGAAGAGGACCCCCCCCCCATACGCACCTTCATACTGGGAGCCCCAGCCAGCCACCAAGCAGGACGCCCCCAGCGGAGGGTCCTGGCCGGACGGCAGGCAGATGGGGCTCACACGGTGTGACATCATCACAGGGGATGCCAGCTCCAGCAGAGCGATGTCATTGTTGAAGGTCTTGGGATTAAACTGCAAATGCAGACAGAAGAAGAGCAGTCAAAGATTTCCATATGGAGGCATAGCTGTTAGGGAATCCAGTTGTTATGTCCTTGAAGAAGGCAGTCAGGTGGAATTTGCTCATGGGAGTTTTATTTACACAAAGCGTCCTGGACTCACCTCCTTTACAATCTGTTTGGTTATTTCTCTGAACCAATCATTTTTCGTTCTGCCCTTGGAAAACTTTTGTGCAAGTGAAACTCCCACGAGTTTAGAAATTGCTCATTCATTACACAGATGTACAAAAAAGGATGTACTGTACCTGTTTATATCTGTGTTGAAAGATTTCATGAGCAGACGAAATGTAGATGGAGTACTAAACTAGAATTTCAGGTGAAAGTTATACATGGAACAGAATCCAAGCCAGGGAGGAGACAGGAAATATGTAGTGGTACCTTTGGGTGAGTGATGATTCGATTGACCTTCATGACCTGCTCCTCAGGGTCAGTCTTGGTGATGTCAAACTCCCCCACTACCACCGTCCAGTAATTCTCACTTCGGCTGCTGTGTGAGCGGGAGGATGGAAACAAGGGAGATGCAACAGCAATTCTTAGCATCAAAATGTCAGTTTAATGAAGACAAAATGCAAAGTCTGTCCTAAATCTGTGACAGGAAGCTTTAGCAACTCAGATCAAGCTTCTAATACAGTACTGACATAGAACATTGAGTAGACCACTAGTAGGATGATTCTATCTTCTGCAGTTGGGCCGTTCTATTGAATATATTTCTGTTGCTTGGTGTGTGGAATTGCTCGCTGGTCCAGCTTACCCCGAGAAGCAGTGGGCGGCCGTCACCACCCAGGCACTGTCCACCAACACCCCCCCACACATAATCCCCCCATCCAGCTGCAGGTTCACCAGCCAGGGCCAACTCCCTGGGGTGGCCAACTTGCCACCCACAATCCTCGAGCGTGGCTGGGTGACGTTTTGGCCCGATGGGACCCGGTGCCCACAGAACTCTAATGGATACATCAAGGGAGGGGTGAGTGAGGAGAGGACTGAGAATTGAACAAACCAAATATGCAAATAAGGAGTCATATGACAGGTAGCAGTTGGTCACATGGAGCTGGGTGGCAGAAGGGAAAGCAGATGATTGGATGCTCACCTTTCATGCCTGGCTGAGGGCTGGGCAGGAGCTCCAGGCTGCGTATGGTGCTCAGGAGGCTACACCGGAGCACGCGTGCGCTGCAGCTCTCCCCCATGACACGTACACAGCGCCCCCTGTCCCTCTCAGCTTCCGGGCAGCGCAGGCGATAGAAGCCACATGCCTGGCTCAGCGCCCAGTTCCGTTCCCCCTCGTCCGGCAACTTTTGAGCCTCGCCTATGGTCTCGCAGGTGGGCTCCTCCAATGCCGTGTCTGGGGCTGCTGGAAGGTTCCATTGTGTGTGTGACGGGGGGGTGGGGTGGTTCTTAATTTCAATTGCACTGGTATGTGGTTGGTTTATCAACAAAGCTTGTCACATCAGTAACATGTTGCTTCTTCTGAGGATCAGTTATTTAAGCTCATCTGATGCTTCATGATGTCATGTATGAGCCATGTGACCATCATGTGACGATGGTCATAGTCCTGCAGCCACACAGTAAATCTGGTTTATGGCTGTGTCACGTTTAGACGTTTCCTTGATTTCACCCGTGATTGACGGGGATGGAAGGGAGCTTGGGTTCTTACCGCAGGGTCCAGAGCGCCGCCCACAGTCCTGGAACAGGCACGGCACGCATCCCCGGCAGCTGGACTCGGCCCAGCTGCGCTCCGCCGCCGCCAACTCCAGGGCCGTCAAAGCGCTGGCCAAGGCCGCCTCCAGAACCACGGTTCCGCGATCAGACAGGGCTGTGGGGACGATGTGGACCCACGTGGCGACGGGTCAGCATCAGGGCGCACGGTACCACTAGGCAGTAGCCCAGGTGCTCATAGGAGTGGCAGAGCTACTCCATCTGGCCAGACACACCCTTGTTCCCAATCACCCATGTTGCCATGACGACATATTGGCACAGAACTTGTTAGCACCTATAGACGCAGCACGTGAGACCACACTCATTCTGGGGGGGTCACCAAAGAAGCCGGAGGTCGCCTCAGCCCCCCCCCAACGCACCCCCAACTCCACCTCCCCACCAAATCTTCTTCAGAGCTCAGCAACTGAGTACCGCTAATGACGACATTTCTGATTGAAGATTTAATTAGTGCCTCTCTGATTAGGCGAGGGGAGCAGGCTGGGGGGGGGGGTAAGGACCATGTTTTCCACTATACTACACTTTCCTGCCTTGTTTTTATTTATTATAGTTTTTATGTTTTTTCTGAAGGAGGCAACAATTCCATTGTACCATATACACCACAATGCATACTAAAAATGCAATATATTGAGGTTATAATATGGAAAAATCTAAGTGCAAATTTCATACTCGTTCAAACAGAGAGATCAGGTCACCCGCATCCTGAAGCTGAATGAAAGTGAATGAAGATGAAGTTGCTCTTGCTAACCAACAAATCTCACTGTGATACTGGTCCCAGGTCTGCTGAAGCACAATAATTTGGGAGGGATTTCAGTAAATCGGTGTTAGAGTTCTATACAACTATACAGGGTTTAAAACACAGACTTCCTTTCTGTATCCTAAACAGAAAGGTCAGCAAAAACACTGCATCTAAGGGCCAGCTATTCAGCAGGACTGAAACCCTGATGCAGTGACCTCCTGACAGAAGGATACTAACCCTAAATAACAGAGATTGCTTGTTTCCATGGTTTGAGCTGTTGCAGACAGCCTCCCCCGACGAGGCAGATGGTAGGTGCCTAAATGTGATCTCAGGTCCCACAGAACTCATCCCACGGAAAAAAGGTGGGGGTGTGTTAACGCCTCAGAGGTACATACCTTGCAGTGCACTGGCTGGCATCCTGTATGTTTCTCTGGCTGGGGGAGCAGTAGAAACTTGGCCCAAAATCAAGAGGAAGGCCAGCAGCATAATGAGAGCAGGCGATATATAAACAAGAACTCAGAAATTTCAAAAGCTGTCACCACTTGCAGAAAAAATTTTGACAGCCCCCCCCCCAACCCCCAGGGTCGTTTGTCTCACAGTTTCTGTAGCAACCGTCTGCCTCCTTCCTGGAACAGGCCTCTCTTACAGTCGCATCTGTCTACAAGTTTATGTAAGTAACAATAGATGCGTAGCATCCTCTTGTATATATAGAGCCACTTGGGGCACAATGTGGGGGTGGGGGCTGTGGGATGAGAGGGAAGGGGAGGAGCTATTGTCCTGTGGCCAATGAGCAAACAGGATTCACTGAGATGGTCAGAGCAGAGTGCAACTCGCCAAGACTGGAAAAAGAATTGTGGGCACAATTGTGGAAGGGGGTGGAATTCATTAGCATTAAACACAAAGTTGGGGGTGAAAGATGGACTATATTGAAAATGGTGAGGAGGAGGGAGAAGCTCTGGTGATGGAGATGAGAGAGAAGAGAGAACAGACGAATGAGAGGGAGAGAGAGAGAGACTCCTAGCATTCTAGCCCGCTCTCAATGGACGCATTGTCCTCAGAGCTGTCTCACTTCAAAGCCGCCCCCTAACGATCACAGCCCCACTGCCTCCACTGATCATCCTGATGCTTTTATCTCAGCCATTAAAACATTGCAAGTTCACGTCACTTTCGTCAATCCCAGTTGAACATAAACTCATCACATTAAAAAAACATATATTCAGCAGCGGCAGGATGTCTTCAGATGGAACAGAATCGTCGATTGCATGTAGAGTGTGAAACATAATGTTCAGTACAGACTTGAGGAAAATGACCAGGTCACATAAGTGTGTGCGTGCGTGTGGTCAGGGTCAGTAACTTGGCGTCCCTGAGCTCTCCCTGTCCAGGCCTTGTTCTGTGCCAGTCGGGAGATGAAACACCATTGTCACCGATCACCACCCCTCCCCCCCCCAATTTCCAAACCTCCCGCCAATGGGACCCAGGTTTCACAGTGGCACTGCGATCTGTGTGCGAACTTGGACAGAGAGAGATGGCATGGCATAAATGGATGGTACCCTTTCATCCCCCCCCCTCCCCGCACCACCAACCCCGCAGGCTCTGAACTCCTTTGATTACACAGCCCCCTCCCATCCCAGATGGAACAGGCACACATATTCCCCCTTTGGGCCAATCCACTTTCCTTTATCTCTCTGGCAGCCAGTGAGACAAATGCCCCATCCTATCCCATCCTGACCCCCCCCCCACCAACAAAACGTGTCACAGCACGACAGAATGTGACATGGGCACAACTTTGCTGTTAAAGCATTTTCATGCACTTTTTAAGAATGGGAGTCACTCACTGGCTCTGAATGCCTCTAGGATCTTCCATTAGTTCTTAAAATGTAGGAAAAATATTAAGCTATGTAAGGATGCAAGGCTTATTATAAGGCCATGAGGGACCGGCACTCAGAAACCAATGTGTACCTGTTTGGTACTGGGGCTGTACCGTCAAGGGTCTGCCAATTGTACCCTAACTTTAAATGTACCTTTTAGTCTCATTTAAGGTACATAAATGGTCTCCTAGGAACATCTTCATGGTACAAACAGCATTAACGTACCAGTGATACAAAATCTTCACAGTCCATTTCTGTACCTTAAACAGTACAAATTCCTACAGCTAAGGGTACAATTCAGAGACTTTTGAGGGTACAGCCCCAGCGACAAGCAAAGGTACAAATTGCTACTCTTTTTTTTCTGACAGTGTGGAGTCCATCCTAAGCAGCATAGGGAACAAGGCAGGGTACATTAGTCAGGATGCCGGTCCATTAGAGGGCACAGGCCTGCCTGCCCTGCTGCTATACCACCATTCATTCTGCCGTCAGAAGCAGCACCAGCACCTGCCGGCCATCACCAGCCTGCCCTCCACATTTATACAGTCCAAATTGAAAAATTTGAGTCTATGTTAGGATTTTGTCATTTTATTCATTTGACTTCCTGTGCCGGCCCCTGGAGGATGGGCTGGTTCCGCCCAAGGTTTCTTCCTTCTAGAGTTTTTCCTTGTCACTGTCGCCTCTGGCTTGCTCTCTGAATGCTTTGGGTGGGGATAATGTAAAGCACTTTGGAACAATGCAATGCTGCAGAAACGTGCTATACAAATAAAACTGAAGACATACATACGCAATGGAAAAACAGCAAACCAACTCTAAAAAGGGCTTGTAGCTGGGTTTCAAACCCAGAGCAACAAGGCAAATAAGTGATACCCACTGGACCAGCATGCCACCCCCAGCTCTAGATTAGTGTATGAGGCAGGTTTAGGAAGGACCCGCGAAAAGAGGCATTCCCAACAGAACTTTTAGTTTAATGGTTCCTTTGGGAGAGGGTCAGTGTGCACATTAATCCCCAGCAGCTTCCACCGTTCGTTTAAAGGGAATGCAGAACGATCCCACTGAAACCTACCCGAGTGGCACCAGGGTTCCGCAAAAGAGGAACGAGCCGAGGCAGCTACATAAACTGACAGCAAAGATGCAGGACACCGTCGTGGGACAGGAGAACGTCACACAGCCATGTGGAGTGACACCCAAGTATTATGCACGGTTACAAAAAACCCCATCGCCATTGTTTTGGGGGTAAACAATCGAGAAGTAGGTCACTGGGATAGAGGAGAAAAAAAACCCATAATGTCCCACAAACTGTAGGGAGCTTGTCCCTCCCCTGGGAACACGCAAGCATCAGCAGTACTCCAGTAAAAAGGCCACACTTTTATTCAAACAATCTTTTTCATATTATAACCTCATAAAGATAATTGCCCAGTATCATAAACAAAAATGACAACTCATATATCTGAGGAACAAAAATACATTTAAATCCCCCCCCCCAAAAAAAGGGTTTCAGTGTTATCCGCCTTTAACTTGATTAAGCAAAGCATTCAGATCACAAATTACATTTTAACTGCAGCAACACAAAAATCAGGAACTTTTGAATGATTAAAAAAACAATACAAGACAACAAAAAGTTTAAGATTAGGCTACTTAATATACAAGCTCTGCTCACAGCAATAAAAAGCAATCTGCATGCAGCTTTGTTAACATACAGATGAACAAACTTTACAAAGACTTACTTGCACATTAATTCAATTTCAGATTAGAAAAAAAAAACTATCACCAATCAAGTGGTCAAACCTTATACTATTTTAGAACTAAAATAAAATTATATTCTGATTGAACCTGCCGATATAAAATGTAGTTTGATTATTATGGCAATAGAAAAAAATAGTTTATGAAATACAACTCTCTTCACCCCCACAGTGAAGTACCTAAAGATCCAGTACAACAGTCCCCCCCTAGAGGGCCAATTAGGTATTGCCGTAGATGTGTCTGCGCCATCTCTTTGGATGCCTTCCTTAATGGTGGCCAGCAGTCTGTGCTGCTCCTGGCATCCTCCTGTTCCACAGAGCAGTCCATATTCTACAGGTGTGGTTATCAGCAACTTCTGGATGTCAGAAACCTAGAGATCCAGCCAGAAGCCAGGCAGACACCACACAAATCAGTCACCATCGTCATTTCCTAGTTACTACTAATCATTTGAACATTTGGCAGAATAACATAAAGGTCGGCACCCTTGGCCCCCACTCCATGACGCGCCCCCGCCTCAGCCTTCATGAGCTGCTGAACTCTGGAGACGCCTTGCTCGAAACTGGCCGACCCTGTCGACCTGCAACTCCACGGCGCTCATTACAGACCAGCAGCTTCTACACCTGCAGAGACACCATGGGTGGACCATGTTTTGAACAGTCCACCAGATTCAGTCATGCATTAGTGATGGACAAAATGCCGCTTCATGAACCATTTGCTGTATTTTTTGACCTCACTAGATGGTGCTCTTGGTTTGCTTTGGGGCATATTTTGTGCCCTTTTTTGAACAGAAAGCACACACATACATTGTGAGCAATTTAGAGAGATGCCAATTAGCCAAACCCAAAGGACTACAGCAGTATTTTCCAATCCAGTCCTAGGGAATCTGCAGACACACCACGTTTTTGCTCTACCAGGAACTAGTATGGAGCAAAAAATGTGGACCATGTGTGGATCCTTGAGGACCGGACTGGGTAACATTGGGCTACACGAATAAACTTGCATGACACAGGGAGCACATGTACCTTCCACAAAGACACAGAGTGAAGGCACAACCTCAAGTGTGAAGTGAGGGTGCCCCCCATCCACCAACTCCAGCTAATATCCTAGAGAAAAACCTACTTAAAAACATCATTAGGAGGACTAGACAGCAGAGTAAAGCCATGATTTGCCTCCAGGTTCCCGTTAACTGATCTTTTCCTGATCCATCCTGCATACCACTCCTGCAGGGTGCGGGCGATGTGACCCATCTCCCTGGGTCGGACATCCCGGGCAATGCAGGCTTCCAACTCCAGCAGCTGCCTGCGCTGGTCCAGCTTCCCACGGATTACGTCAGCATAGACGGCGTCAATGAACAGGTCCTCCAGCTGCCGCAGGCTTCTCAGCTCGAGGTCCTGAAGCAGCATGGAGTATGGGATACACTGTGGGGGGGTTACATGGGCCTTAGTTATCTACATCATTCATATACCCCCCAAAGTTTGCCAGAATCTTCAAAAAAAAGGTACATGAAGAAGCGTCCCACCTCCAAAACAAAACACTTCCAAGGAAAATAGTGGAATTTTATTTGACTTAACAGATAAAAATCTTTCCCAGGGAGCCTCTCACTATACGGCACTGCATAGTCTAGTGATGGGACATAAGAACGTTTCACGAACCATTTGCTGTATTTTTTTACCCCACTAGATGGTGCTCTCTGTTCAAATAAAGGGCACAAACCATGTCCCAAAGCTACAGTGTACCTGCACAGAACCAGCCAGACTGACAAAGGTTAGCTGCCTCAGTTTGTTCTTCTGGAGATCTGTTAGTGGAGGAAGGCTGACTTCATTTTCTGAAAAAACAAGATTGTTTAATAATAAAGACCCGTATATAATACATTAATATGGCACAGAACATAATTTTATGTAAAGCTTCATTCAAAACACTCTTTAAAAAAGAAACAAAATGCACCTTACCTTTATAGTCGAGATAAGTTCCATAAGCAAATATATTTAATAACTGGGAATATTCCTTGTTAGGACCCTTGGAAACCTGTGCCAAAAGAAAACCTCTGCTTTAACAAGAGGTGTATTCATGAAGCCTTGTAGTGATCTAGGTAGTGTTACCAGACACCTTACTTAAACAAGTGCCGTTGTATTCAGCTTGGAAATAGTGACATCGTGCGGAGGAATTCTACATTACAATTCATATCAGATTAATTGAACTGGATCACAAGCTTGGAGGTGCTAGATGGACGGTGTGGGCTGTCAATCACAAAGGCGATGAGATTGTGTCTGGTTTACCTCCTGGACGTGAGGCAGATCCAGAAACTCTCCATAGACGTAGACCCCTGGGGCCTCCAGCAGCTGATTAATAAGGGCTATTAGCGCTGCCCCCTTCGTGTTTTTGGCCAGCAGAATAAACGGTTCTAAAGTGCTGTTACGTTTCTGCTCCCCTGCCATTGCAGTGAAATCTATAATAAGGAAAAAATACATAAATGATCGGTAGAAATCATTCCGGACAATAATAATCTAGGTGGGCAATAAATTGAAAATGAAGCAACAATCTAACAAAGTTGTCAATAGTCAAAGGCACTTTACTACTACTTAAGGCTTGTGAGAAAAAGTTGCACTTAACACCACAATTAACTGGTTTAATATACTCAAGTAAACGTGCGATTATTAAAAACAATTTTTATACGATGTGGCTGGTTAGACGACTACCAGATTTTCACACATAAATAGGGCAGCAAACCACTAAACGTTAACTTAGTTATACAAAAACTGGCGCATTAAAAAAATAATAAACAGCAACAAAACCGGTGAGTCCTGATAATTCCTGTAATGCCTTTTCCTATCATTCAGCCAGCCAGTTCCCTAACCTTTCCGTGCTTCTTGTAAATCTATTCGGCTGTGTAAAATACGCACGCAGACAGCGGCTTCGGCTGTTATTTACTAATAAAATGATTGGAAGCTGCAGACGAAGAGCGGGCATCTGCGCACGCGCGCTACTTGTATCATTGCCTGACTTCCAGTTCACGGTTATAATTGACTTAATACTTATACTTAAATATAATTGGCGTGTTACTCTAGTAGGCTACTGTTGCAAATGCAGTTTTAGTTTAAAGGTTGCCTGTGCCCAAGGGCATAACTTTGGGTTGAGCATGAGGGGCTGAGGTCTCCTCCCATTTATGGGGTCCGGATGGGTTACAACTAGGGGTGTAAATCACAGCTTTCTTCGAGATACGATACAGTATCGATTCCTTAAGCTAATGGTTCGATTTTTTTTTGATACCTCAGAAATTCCCACGATACGATTCGATTCAGTTCGATACTGGGGATAGTAGTCGAAATGATGAAATTTCACACAATCCTTTACATTTCAATGAATTAAAAAAGGCAAATATAATTTCCATTTTATCATATTTTATTGGGAACTGTAAACAAAATCTAGTGTAGTCAAATATGTCCCATAAATCAAGCAAAATAAAGTGCAATAAGGTAAAAATAAAAACTTTGGATGGATGTAGATTAACATGGTGAATAATTTTTATTTTGAATCAAGTCTTCTCCAGAAAAATACAAAAGTGTAACAAAAAGTAGGCCTATGTCCATAACTGTCATGACCTGCTCGTATGACCCTCTCCTGTGCTACGCCCCTCATTAACTTCGCGTGCAATCCCGATTGTTCCCAGGTGTTTCTTATTGTTTCGTCTAGTCCTGTGTATTTAAGTCCACGTCCAAGTCAGAATGATCTACTGTTATGATCACTGGTTGACGAACAGGCAGGAAGCGGGGAAGGACAAGGTAGGAGAGGATGCAGGAAACGGGGTTTTATTAGGGAAAAACAGGGCAGACGGCGACGAACATCAATGACGAATCTGGGGAGAACGGCCTCAGATGCGGACTAACTACACAAGACCAGTTGCGGGAAGTTAATGTCGTAGTTTTTATGAACAGTCCGAAAATGCCGCTCCACATTTCCCTTCTTCGGAATACCAACGGTAGACTGACAGATGAGGTAAATGCACTTCGAATATGACATGGTGAAATAAAACAGTCCTCCTCCCATTCCGTATGAAAGTGGTCGGTTTTTGGCTTCTTACTTGGTCCAGCTCCCCCATTCATTTTTATACCCTTTCTTAAGTTTAGTAGAAATATATTGGAGGCTAACTACGCGACTCGGTAGCTTGCAGCAGCTGGCGCTGTTGAACGCGTCATCCATCCTCTATTTTTTATGCCATACAATCTACCCACACTACCTTCGCAATCGACCAGTAGATCGCAATCGACGTATTGGGCACCCCAGGTGTAGACCATGCCATGTATACGTCGGAGTGGATCCTGAAAATACTGGAGCAGGCCAGAAAATAAAAACGCATTTATCGATATTTATGGGGTCACATCGATGCATCGGATCGTTTGCCGTTGAATCGATATATCGATGCAAATCGATGTATTGTTACACCCCTAGTTACAACCCCACACCCCCCCAAAATTTACGCTCATGCATGGTCGCTAATTTAATATCTTAAAATCTTTGAGTTGCCCAGTGGCTCGGTACATAACAAGTTGTTTTTTTGTGGCCATCCGTTTTTATTAAAGTGTTCGTGTGCACATTTACACACATGATAGCTCCCGCTACGTGCTGTTTACTAAAGGCAAACATCGTCTCCATGGGCGCACCAGTGATTCCCCGGGAACGTCGGCTTCCTGATTCAATTTAGGCCACCGAAACTCACCTGCTAAACTTTGCTGCAGTCATCAGAAGCACGATTTAACAGTAACCGTGTAAAAAGAACGGTGGTATTATGTTGTCATTACGGTAATGTTAATTATGTTCGTCCCAGTAACGTTATCATTGTGTCTCTGTGTTAATTACAAATAATAATGCAAAATTGCATAAAATGACAGGAAAACTTTCTGCACTGGCGGTTGCTTTGATCTAGATCTGAAAACATACCTGAAATTGTTGGCGCAGTACTCTTTTGTAGAATTCCTAAGTATATTAATGTATAACTTCAAGATTAAAGATTATAAATCTAGATGTATTTCTTAAAGTCTTTGCTAGCTATTAGGGATGTCATTTTTCAAAACAAATGGCCAGAATGGTAACGAAATGTTTTCCTGGGTGTTTGACAGAACTGCGGTAGCCTGTTCTTTTACCATTTAAAGAAAAGGTTCACGATATATACAATATATATTAGTTTGCTGCTGTGGTACAAGGTGCTGGTCCGTAACAGTTGTAATTGTCCAACAACATGCATTATGGATGCATGCTTTTGAAGCCAGCATTGGTTGGCTTGTGTTCATCCTAGGCTTAAGAAGGGATAGAATGGACAAAGTAAATAACAAAGGCAGCGCATTTTAGTTATCGGATTAAAAAAAACACACAGTTAAATGGAATTAGCAGTGTGACATATAGCACATGTTGCCCTGAAGACGATTTAGACAATTAAGCAGCAGTTGCAAATATTTGGATGTCAAATTGAGGCTTGGTGCAGTTCACTGCCATTTAGTTCCTCATCTGTGTCTTCTCAAAGTTGTCAGATATGACAAGATTTTGAAGTATATTTATACATTTTACGCAATGTCACATTATCAGGATTGTATTTGCTGACACACACCAGTGAAGATAAAAATGAATTATCGTTATATGTATACGTAACCCAGTCAAATACATTTCACAATATGTGATGCAAATGTTTGGACTAAGAGGCATTAATTATGAACCAATGAATTACAGTACCTCAATTATTTTAAAAAGGGAAAGACTGATTAACAATGCAAAGTTGAGAATGCTTGTCATTTTCCTAATGTATTGATTTTCATATTAGATGTTGCATCTGATCTTTTTCAGGCTTTTTGGAATGAATACATCTGGACTGACACTGCCACCACTGGTCTCGGAGGTCTCAAAAATCAGTGTTCCAGCAGTTAGGCCAGAATGAACCAAGGGACAGTGACCACCATTGCAGTGTGACAGAGGCTCTACTGACCAATTGTGGGAGGCAACATTTTTGGTTGCTCCTCATGTTCCGTGGTAAGATGGCATCTTAAGTACCCATCACCTTAGTGGAGATGTCCAGCCACTACGATGCAGCCGGGAGGTGGGGGGGCACCACTCATTTCACATTATCCTCTTAACAAAGAACAACATTCTACCCTCCATCTGGTAGTTCAGCATAGAAGGAGAATATCATAGATCAGTCAACAATCCCATAGTGTAGGTTCTTGAAGATCTTAATGACACTTGCACTCAGGGAGTTCTTTTTTTAGGTGATGTAATCTTGTGGACTGAAGTGTGCTGATTAAGTTCTTGTGAAACTTCTTTGCAATACGGATATGTGCTGTGCAGTTTTAAATATGCATGAAAATAGATATTCGTTTTTGCCGCCTACTATGGTACATAGCCAGAAGTAGCCGACAGATGGCGCCACAAGACAAATGTAACAGTTGTGGTGTCTTGCTCTCTAATTAAGGGTAGATAGATTTTGATTGGAAGCGATTCAGCTGAATAATCCAATAACTGAATACACTGAGTCGCATTTAATTATTCAGTACCAAATATTACTGGGGTAAATAATGTTAATTAACAACGGGGAAAATTTAGCTTGGTATTTGGCCAAAGGCATATTGCAATTAGTTTAAAGACATTGATTTAGAAGATAACTAATAATAATCGGAATACAGTGATGGGGTAAAATGAAGAGTGTAATTTAACCTCAAAGGCTACCTAAAGAGAATACCGAGGGGCAGTGGTAAGAATAGTAGACTAAATCGAAAATTCTGATTAAAAGATCGTATAAAAGCAGCGAAAAATTAAATAAAATTTTAATGTGAAAAAACAATGTGGCGTATAAAGTTACACAAATAGTTAATATACTGAAATAATATGTAGGCCTATACATGGTTTGAAATCAACATCGACTTTAATTGCCGCGACATAATCATGATCAGGAACATACTGTTTATAAGTCAAAAACCTCCATCAGAAACTAATTATTACCAGTAAATTACTTTGACAGCGAAATGAACTATGGAGCCAACTGCGAAACACACCACTAATGGTTTTTTTCGTGGTCTTTCTTGGAACGTTTCCATGGTTTCTGGCGATGTCCTGACCCGTTAGTGTTCATTAAGATGCGTCGGATCAAATTATATCTAGTTTCTATGTCAGCTCGACTAGAGGATTAAGTGCTCTTGTGAAAGCGGACACCTCGTTACGCTTGTTATCCGAAAATGAAAAGAGAACACCTCGAATACGACCTTCCAGCTACTTGCATAGGCAACCATGCACCTACGGCTGTAGAAGTATACAACCGCGGTGAAGTTGGTTTTATGTTCGATATTCGCCACATTTACTGACATCTAAACTGCAATATCTTCGGGGTCATAACGGCAATTCTTTTCAGATTAGGCTCCACATGTGAAGTTAAACGAGGGCAATATTTCACACTTTAAGTTAGCTCAACATTCTCCAGC